AGCAGAGATGTTAGCGGTTAGCGTTAACTGTGTGGAGCAACAGAGATGTTAGCGGTTAGCGTTAACTGTGTGGAGCAACAGATATGTTAGCGGTTAGCGTTAACTGTGTGGAGCAACAGAGATGTTAGCGGTTAGTGGTTAGCGTACCGCTAACTGTGTGGGCCAACAGAGATGTTAGCGTTAGCGCTGCCAGAGAGAGCGATAGCCCCAGGATCCAGATGACCTTAAGGTCAATCAGGCAGCAGGTTGTGAGTTTTGACAGAGAGGAGCATGGCTCCGGGGTCTCCATGTGTCCTGTCAATGTTGGTTAGTCTAATAAACTGCATAGTATCAGCCCCCCGTCTCTTAATAACAGGGCCAGCCAATGACACGTTGTGTTTGAGCTGGGAAGCTGTGACTGTCATCGGAACCTGCCTCTTTACATCACAGAGTCGGTGCTCCCAGCAAAAATGCTAAAAGGCTTACCGTCTAGCGCTATCATCGCACATTATCCCCCTGCATCACATCTAAAACACACACACCGCTAACACCACTAACACATATACACACCGCTAACACATTATCCCCCTGCATCGCATCTAAAACACACACACCGCTAACACTGCTAACACATATACACACCGCTAACACATTATCCCCCTGCATCGCATCTAAAACACACACACCGCTAACACCGCTAACACATATACACACCGCTAACACATTATCCCCCTGCATCGCATCTAAAACACACACACCGCTAACACCGCTAACACATATACACACCGCTAACACATATACACACCGCTAACACATATACACACCACTAACACATATACATACCGCTAACACATATACACACCGCTAACACATATACACACCGCTAACACATATACACACCGCTAACACATATACACACCGCTAACACATATACACACCGCTAACCAACATATACACACCGCTAACAATACACACCGCTACCGCTAACACATATACACACCGCTAACACATATACACACCGCTAACACATATACACACCGCTAACACATATACACACCGCTACCGCTAACACATATACACACCGCTAACACATATACACACCGCTAACACATATACACACCGCTAACACATATACACACCGCTAACACATATACACACCGCTACCGCTAACACATATACACACCGCTAACACATATACACACCGCTAACACATATACACACCACTAACACATATACACACCGCTAAACACATATACACACCGCTACCGCTAACACATATACACCACCGCTAACACATATACACACCGCTAACACATATACACACCGCTAACACATATACACACCGCTTCCTCTAACACATATACACACCGCTAACACATATACACACCGCTACCGCTAACACATATACACACCGCTAACACATATACACACCGCTACCGCTAGCACATAGACACACCGCTAACACATATACACACCGCTAACACATATACACACCGCTACCGCTAACACATATACACACCGCTAACACATATACACACCGCTACCGCTAGCACATAGACACACTGCTAACACATATACACACCACTAACACATATACACACCGCTACCGCTAACACATATACACACCGCTACCGCTAACACATATACACACCGCTACCGCTAACACATATACACACCGCTACCGCTAACACATATACACACCGCTACCGCTAACACATATACACACTGCTAACACATATACACACTGCTACCGCTGTATATCTGTCATATTCTATCATACACTAGATGGGCTGTATATCTGTCATATTCTATCATACAGTATATGGGCTGTATATCTGTCATATTCTATCATACACTAGATGGGCTGTATATCTGTCATATTCTATCATACACTAGATGGGCTGTATATCTGTCATATTCTATCATACACTAGATGGGCTGGATATCTGTCATATTCTATGATATAGTAGATGGGCTGTATATCTGTCATATTCTATGATATAGTAGATGGGCTGTATATCTGTCATATTATATATTTTTAATTTAGCTGACACTCCTATCCAGAGCAATTCAACTAAGGTAGGTAAGACAACCACATATCACAGTCCTTGCATTCAACTAAGGTAGGACAACCACATTTACATTTTTACAGATTTATTTTAGCTACTTACAGGAGCAATTAGGGTTAAGTTCCTTGCTCAAGGCCACATCGACAGATCTTTCACATGGTCAGCTCGGGGATTCGAACCAGCAACCCTGAGTTGCATCAGTGAGTAACACACACACACACACACACACACACACACACACACACACACACACACACACACACACACACACACACACACACACACACACACACACACACACACACACACACACACACAGCTCCACACTGTAGATATGATGATGATATTACATCATGCTTGCAATATTACATATTTGAGTTCTGAAACCTAGTTTTTCAGAGGGTTACGTAAGTACAAAGCAGAGAGGAAAAATGAGACCGTGATTCAACTGGGATATTCTATCGCCGTGCTCTTTGGAGACTTATACAAACATAAATGTTCAGTGAATATCATTCAGAGATTCCGTAACAGCTCTGGTTAAAATCATTCATGTGTTTATGATTTTACATAGTAGTTTAGTCAATCACACTACACCACAGAGGAAGTATGTCAATTTAACCACAATCCAGACTGTTTCTAGTTGCTTATGTACATTTACGTCATTTAGCAGACGCTCTTATCCAGAGCGACTTACATTATTATTATTTTTTTCATACCCCCTGTGGGAATCGAACCCACAACCCTGGCGTTGCAAACGCCATGCTATATCAACTGAGCTACATCCCTGCCGGCCATTCCCTACCCCTACCCTTGAATCCAGTTTGCTTTTGTCCATAATGTTAAATAGCTTCTTTTTTTTTTTGAAGAACGACTGTGAGAAGGTCACTTTTTGTGACTTTTTAAAAGGACATTCAACTCCAAAATGCATGGAAATGTAATTATGTTGACACCATCTGAAATATAACTGATGTGTGCCACTGCATGGCAGGGCGCCGCTGCTAAATGAATATAGCGGAAACACTGTGTGTGTCCATGTGAGAATGGTATGTTGTGATATGTTTCTCTCTGCAATGATGCATAGAATGAATAGAATGAGAGAGAACATCAAACGCTCGTCAGTAGCCGTTTCAGCTACCACCAATTAATTCTATGTGAATTGCCTTCTTAAAGGAAGTGCACTTGAGTGACACTATCCAGAGGCTTACATAACACCTCTTTTCCTAACCAGGGTGAAGTCTGGTTGTTTGGGTTCTAAAGGGGTGGTATGGGTTCTAACTAAAATGACCCCAGGTGTGTTCTCTTTCCCAAAAACCCTTAGTATAACCTGACCCGTTATCTGACACACTACAACAAAATGTACACAGAGAAATGTCTCATTTGAGGAATTGTATTGAGTAAGAAAAAGCAACCCCTCTCGCAACAAATACACATTCATAAATTACATATGATGTTCAAAAGATGTCAGATATAAACCAGTCAGATATAAACCAGTCAGGTATAAACCAGTCAGATATAAACCAGTCAGATATAAACCAGTCAGTATGGCACCAGTCAGATATAAACCAGTCAGTATGGCACCAGTCAGATATAAACCAGTCAGATATAAACCAGTCAGATATAAACCAGTCAGATATAAACCAGTCAGTATGGCACCAGTCAGATATAAACCAGTCAGATATAAACCAGTCAGATATAAACCAGTCAGACATAAACCAGTCAGATATAAACCAGTCAGATATAAACCAGTCAGATATAAACCAGTCAGTATGGCACCAGTCAGATATAAACCAGTCAGATATAAACCAGTCAGTATGGCACCAGTCAGATATAAACCAGTCAGATATAAACCAGTCAGATATAAACCAGTTAGATATAAACCAGTCAGATATAAACCAGTCAGTATGGCACCAGTCAGATATAAACCAGTCAGATATAAACCAGTCAGTATGGCACCAGTCAGATATAAACCAGTCAGATATAAACCAGTCAGATATAAACCAGTCAGATATAAACCAGTCAGATATAAACCAGTCAGATATAAACCAGTCAGGTATAAACCAGTCAGGTATAAACCAGTCAGATATAAACCAGTCAGATATAAACCAGTCAGATATAAACCAGTCAGATATAAACCAGTCAGATATAAACCAGTCAGACATAAACCAGTCAGATATAAACCAGTCAGATATAAACCAGTCAGATATAAACCAGTCAGATATAAACCAGTCAGATATAAACCAGTCAGTATGGCACCAGTCAGATATAAACCAGTCAGTATGGCACCAGTCAGATATAAACCAGTCAGATATAAACCAGTCAGATATAAACCAGTCAGATATAAACCAGTCAGATATAAACCAGTCAGTATGGCACCAGTCAGATATAAACCAGTCAGATATAAACCAGTCAGATATAAACCAGTCAGATATAAACCAGTCAGATATAAACCAGTCAGATATAAACCAGTCAGATATAAACCAGTCAGTATGGCACCAGTCAGATATAAACCAGTCAGATATAAACCAGTCAGATATAAACCAGTCAGTATGGCACCAGTCAGATATAAACCAGTCAGATATAAACCAGTCAGATATAAACCAGTTAGATATAAACCAGTCAGATATAAACCAGTCAGTATGGCACCAGTCAGATATAAACCAGTCAGATATAAACCAGTCAGTATGGCACCAGTCAGATATAAACCAGTCAGATATAAACCAGTCAGATATAAACCAGTCAGATATAAACCAGTCAGATATAAACCAGTCAGATATAAACCAGTCAGGTATAAACCAGTCAGGTATAAAACCAGTCAGATATAAACCAGTCAGATATAACCAGTCAGATATAAACCAGTCAGATATAAACCAGTCAGATATAAAACCAGTCAGACATAAACCAGTCAGACATTAAACCAGTCAGATATAACCAGTCAGATATAAACCAGTCAGTATGGCACCAGTCAGATATAAACCAGTCAGATATAAACCAGTCAGATATAAACCAGTCAGATATAAACCAGTCAGATATAAACCCGTCAGATATAACCAGTCAGTTATGGCACAGTCAGGTATAAACCAGTCAGATATAAACCGTCAATATAAACCAGTCAGATATAAACCCGTCAGATATAAACCAGTCAGATATAAACCAGTCAGATATAAACAGTCAGATATAAACCAGTCAGTATGGCATCCAGTCAGATATAAAACCAGTCAGATATAAACCAGTCAGTATGGCACCAGTCAGATATAAACCAGTCAGATATAAACCAGTCAGATATAAACCAGTCAGATATAAAACCAGCAGTATGGCAAACAGTCAGATATAAACCAGTCAGATCATAAACCAGTCAGTATGGCACCAGTCAGATATAAACCAGTCAGATATAAACCAGTCAGTATGGCACCAGTCAGATATAAACAAGTCAGATATAAACCAGTCAGATATAAACCAGTCAGTATGGCACCAGTCAGATATAAACCAGTCAGATATAAACCAGTCAGTATGGCACCAGTCAGATATAAACCAGTCAGATATAAACCAGTCAGATATAAACCAGTCAGATATAAACCAGTCAGTATGGCACCAGTCAGATATAAACCAGTCAGATATAAACCAGTCAGATATAAACCAGTCAGTATGGCACCAGTCAGATATAAACCAGTCAGATATAAACCAGTCAGATATAAACCAGTCAGATATAAACCAGTCAGATATAAACCAGTCAGTATGGCACCAGTCAGATATAAACCAGTCAGATATAAACCAGTCAGTATGGCACCAGTCAGATATAAACCAGTCAGATATAAACCAGTCAGATATAAACCAGTCAGATATAAACCAGTCAGTATGGCACCAGTCAGATATAAACCAGTCAGATATAAACCAGTCAGATATAAACCAGTCAGATATAAACCAGTCAGATATAAACCAGTCAGTATGGCACCAGTCAGATATAAACCAGTCAGATATAAACCAGTCAGATATAAACCAGTCAGATATAAACCAGTCAGATATAAACCAGTCAGATATAAACCAGTCAGTATGGCACCAGTCAGATATAAACCAGTCAGATATAAACCAGTCAGATATAAACCAGTCAGATATAAACCAGTCAGATATAAACCAGTCAGTATGGCACCAGTCAGATATAAACCAGTCAGGTATAAACCAGTCAGATATAAACCAGTCAGATATAAACCAGTCAGATATAAACCAGTCAGATATAAACCAGTCAGATATAAACCAGTCAGATATAAACCAGTCAGATATAAACCAGTCAGATATAAACCAGTCAGATATAAACCAGTCAGATATAAACCAGTCAGTATGGCACCAGTCAGATATAAGCCAGTCAAATATAAGCCAGTCAGCCCTTCAGGGCTTCGTGCTTAGTCCCCTCCTGTACTCCCTGTTCACCCACGACTGTGTGGCCAGGCATGACTCCAACACCATCATTAAGTTTGTTGACGACACGACGGTGGTAGGCCTGATCACCAACGGCGATGAGACACACTTTACACACACACACTCACACACTCATACGGTCATCATTTCCTGCTGCTTCCTTCCTGATTCTGTTCTTTATTTTACTCTTATTATTATCTATCCTGATGCCTAGTCACTTTACCCTGCCTTCATGTACATATCTTCCTCAAATACCTTATTATTATCTATCCTGATGCCTAGTCATTTTACCCTGCCTTCATGTACATATCTACCTCAAATACCTTATTATTATCTATCCTGATGCCTAGTCACTTTACCCTGCCTTCATGTACATATCTACCTCAAATACCTTATTATTATCTATCCTGATGCCTAGTCAATTTACCCTATCTTCATGTACAGGGAATAACTGGGTTACACATACAGTGGGGTTGGAAATTATTGACCCCCTTGATAAAGATGAGCGATAATACCAAGCTAAATTGTATGCTAAAAAAATGGGGAAATTATATTATTTTATACTAATACAATCGCTCAGAGAAAGAGATTTTGTTTAACAAGTAATATCATTTTCTTCTCAAAAAGGTAGGGGTCAAAATAATTGACCCCCCTAAAGATTCTTGTAAATAAAGTAGTAAAAAAATGTAGTATTGGGTCCTATATAAACTAAATTTCTCTGAGCAATTGTATGAGTTAAAATGATATCATTTCCACATTTTGTTTTAGCATACAACAACTCAGTATTTCAATTATTTATTTTATACAGTGTTGCTCATCTTTATCAAGGGTGTCAATAATTTCAGACATTTCCACTGTATATTTACTACATAATATGTGTATGTATGAATGCACAGTGCATTCGTTACAGCCTTATTCTAAAATGGATTAAATACACTGCTCAACATTTACATTTTAGTCATTTAGCAGACGCTCTTATCCAGAGCGACTTACAGGAGCAATTAGGGTTAAGTGCCTTGCTCAAGGGCACATTGACCGATTTTTCACCTAGTCGGCTCTGGGATTAGAACCAGTGACCTTTCGGTTACTGGCACACCGCTCTTAACCACTAAGCTACCTGCCGCCCCGGAGTTACGACACAATGTAACTCCAAGTCAATCACACTTCTGTGAAATCAAACTGTCCACTTAGGAAGCAACACTGATTGACAATAAATGTCACATGCTGTTGTGCAAATGGAATAGACAACAGGTGGAAATTATAGGCAATTAGCAAGACACCCCCAATAAAGGACTGGTTTTGCAGGTGGTGACCACAGACCACTTCTCAGTTCCTATGCTTCCTGGCTGATGTTTTGGTCACTTTTGAATGCTGGCGGTGCTTTCACTCTAGTGGTAGCATGAGACGGAGTCTACAACCCACACAAGTGGCTCAGGTAGTGCAGCTCATCCAGGATGGCACATCAATGCGAGTTGTGGCAAGAAGGTTTGCTGTGTCTGTCAGCGTAGTGTCCAGAGCATGGAGGCGCTACCAGGAGACAGGCCAGTACATCAGGAGACGTGGAGGAGGCCGTAGGAGGGCAACAACCCAGCAGCAGGACTGCTACCTCCGCCTTTGTGCAAGGAGGAGCAGGAGGAGCACTGCCAGAGCCCTGCAAAATGACCTCCAGCAGGCCACAAATGTGCATGTGTCTGCTCAAACGGTCAGAAACAGACTCCATGAGGGTTGTATGAGGGCCCGATGTCCACAGGTGGGGGTTGTGCTTACAGCCCAACACCGTGCAGGACGTTTGGCATTTGCCAGAGAACACCAAGATTGGCAAATTTGCCACTGGTGCCCTGTGCTCTTCACAGATGAAAGCAGGTTCACACTGAGCACATGTGACAGACGTGACAGAGTCTGGAGACGCCGTGGAGAACGTTCTGCTGCCTGCAACATCCACTCAGTCATGGTGTGGGGTGGCATTTCTTTGGGGGGCCGCACATCCCTCCATGTGCTCGCCAGAGGTAGCCTGACTGCCATTAGGTACCGAGATGAGATCCTCAGACCCCTTGTGAGACCATATGCTGGTGCGGTTGGCCCTGGGTTCCTCCTAATGCAAGACAATGCTAGACCTCATGTGGCTGGAGTGTGTCAGCAGTTCCTGCAAGAGGAAGGCATTGATGCTATCGACTGGCCCGCCCGTTCCCCAGACCTGAATCCAATTGAGCACATGTCTCGCTCCATCCACCAACGCCACGTTGCACCACAGACTGTCCAGGAGTTGGCGGATGCTTTAGTCCAGGTCTGGGAGGAGATCCCTCAGGAGACCATCCGCCACCTCATCAGGAGCATGCCCAGGCGTTGTAGCGAGGTCATACAGGCACGTGGAGGCCACACACACTACTGAGCCTCATTTTGACTTGTTTTAAGGACATTACATCAAAGTTGGATCAGCCTGTAGTGTGGTTTTCCACTTTAATTTTGAGGGTGACTCCAAATCCAGACCTCCATGGGTTGATAAATTTGATTTCCATTGATAATTTTTGTGTGATTTTGTTGTCAGCACATTCAACTATGTAAAGAAAAAAGTATTTAATAAGATTATTTCATTCATCTAGAATGTGTTATTTTAGTGTTCCCTTAATTTTTTTGAGCAGTGTAGTTTTTTTGTCCTCATCAATCTACACACAATACTCCATAGAGACAAAGCAAAAACAGGTTTTTAGACATTTTTGCAAATTCATTAAAAATAGAAAAAATAGAAAAGTTTACATTTACATAAGTATTCAGAACCTTTGCTCAGTACTTTGTTGAAGCACCTTTGGCAGCGATTACAGCCTTGAGTCTTCTTGGGTATGACGCTACAAGCTTGGCACACCTGTATTTCGGGAGTTTCTCCCATTCTTCTCTGCAGATCCTCTCAAGCTCTTTCAGGTTGGATGTGGAGTGTCGCTGCACAGCTATTTTCAGGTCTCTCCAAAGATGTTTGATCGGGTTCAAGTCCTGGCTCTGCCTGGGCCACTCAAGGACATTCAGAGACATGTCCCGAAGCCACTCCTGCGTTGTCTTGGCTGTGTGTTTAGGGTCATTGTCCTATTGGGAGGTGAACCTTTGCCCCAGTCTGAGGTCCTGAGCGCTCTGGACCAGGTTTTCATCAAGGTTCTCTTTGTACTTTGCTCCGTTCATCTTTCCCTCGATCCTGACTAGTCTCCCAGTCCCTGCCGCTGAAAAACATCCACACAGCATGATGCTGCCACCACCATGCTTCACCGTAGGGATGGTGCCAGGTTTCCTCCAGACGTGATGCTTGGCATTCAGGCCAAATAGTTACATCTTGGTTTCATCAGACCGGAGAATATTGTTTCTCATGGTCTGAGAGTCCTTTAGGTGCCTTTTGGCAAACTCCAAGCGGGCTGTCATGTGCCTTTTACTGAGGAGTGGCTTCCGTCTGGCCACTCTACCATAAAGGCCTGTATGGTGGAGTGCTGCAGAGATTGTTGTCCTTCTTGAAGGTTCTCCCATCTCCACAGAGGAACTCTGCAGCTCTGTCAGAGTGACCATCGGGTTCTTGGTCACCTCCCTGACCAAGGCCCTTCTCCCTCGATTGCTCAGTTTGGCCGGGCGGTCAGCTCTAGGAAGAGTCTGGGTGATTCCAAACGTCTTCCATTTAAGAATGATGGCGGCCACTGTGTTCTTGGGGACCTTCAATGCTGCAGAAATGTTTTGGTACCCTTCCCCAGATCTGTGCCTCGACACAATCCTGTCTCGGAGCTCTACAGACAATTCCTTCGACCTCATGGCTTGGTTTTTGCTCTGAAATACACTGTCAACTGTGGAAACAGGGTGCACCTGAGTCTCATAGCAAAGGGTCTGAATACTAAAGTAAATAAGGTATTTCTGTTTTTCTTTTTTAACAAATTAGCTAACATTTCTAAAAACCTGTTTTCACTTTGTCATTATGGGTTATTGTGTGTAGATTATTGAGGATTTTTTGGGGGGGATCCATTTTAGAATAAGGCTGTAACGTAACAAAATGTGGAAAAAGTAAAGGGGTCTGAATACTTTCCGAATGCACTGTATGTACAGTTTAATTGTAATTTTTGGTCAACAATCTACACAGAATACTCTGTAATGTCAGTCAAAGAAAATGTTTTGACATTTATAAAAATTCTATGAAAAAATAAAACACTAATATATATTGATTCGATAAGTATTAATCCCCCTGAGACAAACACCTTTGTATTTGTATTTATTAGGGATCCCCAATTAGCTGCTGCCAAGGCAGCAGCTACTCTTCCTGGGGTCCAAACATATTGCATATTACATTGCATATAAAACAAAATATAAAACAGTACATCATATGACATTATTACACCACTACTTATCTACAATACAAAATGTTTTGGCAGCGATTACAGCTGTGAGTCTTTCTGGGTAAGTCTCCAAGAGCTCTGCACACCTGGATTGAACAATATTTGCCCATTATTTAAAGAATTCTTCAAGCTCTGTCAAGTTGGTTGTTGTTCATTGCTGGAAAGCCATTTTCAAGTCTTGCCATAGATTTTCAAGCTGATTTACGTCAAAACAGTAACTATGCCACTCAGAAACATTCAATGTCGTCTTGGAAAGTAGCTCCAGTGTAAATTTAGCCTTGTATTTTAGGTACTTGTCCTGCTGAAAGGTGAATTTGTCTCCCAGTGTCTGGTGTAGACTGAACCAGGTTTTCCTTTAGGATTGTTCCTGTGCTTAGCTATATTCTGTGCTTAGCTATAATTGTATCTCCTTGCCGATGACAAGCATACTTATAACTTGATGCAGCCACCACCATGCTTGACAATATGGAGAGTGGTACTCAGTGATGTGTTGTGTTGGATTTGCCCCACAAACATAACACTTTGTATTCAGGACAAAATGTTT